TCTAAATCCATGTGTGCTGCTACTGTCACGTTATGAAAGACATCTAGAGAAAAGGCCTCCAAATGAGGGACATACAGCCATCAGTTAAGGGGCTGATATGCCTCTGTACCAATCTCTAGTGCAATGTTTTCTGTCCCAATTTAAGGGCTCCTGTCCCAATTCTTCCCAATTTAACGGCTTGTTTTAAAAACACATGACCTTCCCCACCACCACACACCAATCCAAATACTGAATTATTTGGAAAGACCTGGTGTTCTGTGTCAATCATGACACCTGCACCCTGAATGTGTAGCAATAAAAATATGTACTTTTTACAGATACACCATTTTATTCTAGTTATTTTTAAAAAGGCACATAATTTCCTGTGATGAAAGATGGTAAGGTAAGATAGAATAAAGGAATCAACACAAACTAGGAAAAAGAGATAAACAGAAACTTATTAAACAACTTGATGGAATGGTAAAGTAGCCAACAGTACTGAAATCATGTCTTCATGTTAAATTCAGTCCAATCACTCAGGGTATTTGTTCCAACATTGTCATAGAGACCAACTGAATACAGAGCACCAATATTCTTCCATTAGCAAGACAAAAAGTCAATGTGATGGGAAAATCTTCACCTTCCGACTCCTCCACCAAAATATCTATCTACAAGGACAAGACTGTGCTAGTAAACTTCCTGTGGAGCTCTGGAGGGCTCCTTGCAAAAGTCTGGGGGATTGCCCTTGATGGAAAGAAGGAGAACCTGATGGCATTCACTCCACCTAAGAACAAACTTTTGCAGGTTTGAAGGCCAATGAGCTAATGACCCTTGAACAACCCACATTCCTGAATGAACAACTCACATTCAGGAACAGCACAGCTGAGAGTTGCCACACAGCCCCTGCAGCCACACAATGGCCATGAACTCCAGTGGGTGTTATAAACGGGTGCTCTGCTCCACTAAATCTGTTCCATGAGTGGTTTCTGTCCTACTGGAGGTAGGGATTTCTGCTGTGCTGTGTGGGCACAAACTCTTTGGAGGATGCAGAGACCCTTTTGCAGGCAAATAGAAAATAAGTTCAACTGTTTACTTTTTCAGGTTGCATATAGGCAATCAACAGAGTCCTAAATATGTAGATGACATATTAAAAGATATGATGGACACTGTAACATCACACTTTTCTTAATTAGATGGGAAAAGTTGCAGTTTTGTTTTAAAAATGTATAGTTACTCCACTGCCAAGAGCAAAGAGAATACCTCAAGGCTTTGAAAGAACTGATGCAAATTGCTACTGAGTCCAGGTGCATTTTGTATTACTTATTTGTCCTCTTAAGTACAAACTACATATATATCCATCCCGGGACAAAGACAGATTCAAACACCACTCAGGCAATACTCTGTTCCAATAGTCACTACAGACGTACATGTCAGTTCTTGGGATATGATTATACTTTTGCAATTAGTCTTCAATAAAGGACTGAACAATTATTATTGAAGTCCTAAGGGAGTTAACAAATATAAAGTAATACTGTACATGCTTAAAGTTAAACACATTCAGAAAATCAATTTCAGACTACAGAAAAAAGAATCATGTGAAAGCATCTGCTACAAACATGCCCTTCTATTACAAAGGTATGATCATTGGGACATAAGGGTGACATAGGTAGGCCTAGCCTATTAATTTGAAAAGAGACGTAAAATGCTAGCAGCAAGAAAGCCAGCTTTTTGAGGTATGATCTTTAAAATCTGATTAGCCACACTAAATTCAAACTTTCCTTCTATAACATCAAACCATTCAAGATAATGTATCATAATGTAAAAACACAACATTAAAATGTGCACAAAAAGGAAAAATAATCAGGAAAAAGTCAAGATTTCAACTTGAATTTTGACAATATGTCCTATATATTTGTAGACAGACAGAGAACAGAAATTCCATCTGAATGAATTTCTGTAGAAGAATGAACTTTAACATTCACAAATTCTGGAAAAATGGAATTTCTGATCCTTAACACTGCTTTATAAAGAAGGAACACAGAAAGGTAATGCTGTTGCCAGAAGGCAGTGAAAGGGTTAGTTGGTTTTGAACATATGCCTGTTATGTATGCAGATACTGCCTATTCATCCCCAGCATGAATTATGTCACAAAGTTTGTGACCTAGCATGAATTATGTCACCAAGTTGGTGACCTAAACATGTGTTGTTGCTAAGCAATACCCAGTCACAAGGTCTCCTGTAATCTGTACCGTTTGCACTTTTACTACAGATGTGCCATGGTCAGTTTGCTAACATGATACCCATGCTCCCACACTGGGCAATAAAACTCACTCAGCTATTCTGTTTGCAACAGGTCTTAATACCTTCTTCTTGGCATAAGTCCACCCAACGCTGATGGCATGCACTTGGGCCCTTCATTATACATGACAGGTTTTCATGCTTTAAATAATTATTTTTTTTTCTGAAGGAGGAGGGGAGAATTAAAACTGATCTTCCTTCTTGCAAAGAAAGGCCTGAGAAGGTAATCAGATTGCTAGGGCTGAGCAGACCAGGCAGAGAGGTTCCTTAAGTATGTCTAAATTCCTGGATTTATTCTTGACTATAAGCAATCAGTCCTGTTTGGCATATATATCAGCAGCCAACAACATATGCTCCGATGCCGAATTAAGTGATCACCCTAGACAGAAATGGGTCATGCCTGGGGAAAAGAACAAAAAATACCATTTCCTGAGCTGCTCAAGAATACCAGTATCACCTCTGCAAGCTTGCAGGCTGAAGGGACACTTGAGCAAGTAAAAAAAGTGAACAGCAGCAAAAGACCTGTTGAAACACCAGCTCATGATGGGTTTTATCACAGAACTCGGTCCCTTTTCTCCTTTGTTCCTCCTCTCAGGAATGCTTGAAGCACAGTCTGTCCACAGTCCACCGCTATAACCACTGGGACAGGAGACCAAGGCCTGACTTGGCTCCTAATGCAGTTCCCTGACAAGGAACAATAGTATACGCCTCAGGAAGAGCAAAAATCACAGCAAGCACAGCCACACATGCGCAAATGTCAAAAATCAAGAACAGAAACCATACTGAGGCACACATTTATTTTTTTTTTCATCTTAGTTATCCTTAATTGCTGTTGTAATAGCAAAATTCAAGTAACAGCCCTGCTTACCTGTGTCCTGAGCAGCTGTCAGGAGCCAAGAAGGTTTTTTTAACATGTGATTTGCAGGTGACAAACTGCCCCGATAGTGAAGTGACACATGGCATAAGGATGACTATTTGAATCATCAGCTGAAAACATTTCTCTCCTTAGGGCCTGGTTCTGCAACTCTAACGTTGAATCACATGGTCAGTAAATTTCTCTGTTCATGAGATTAATGCTTGTGCAGGGACCTGAGCTGGATGCATGCCACTTTCTAGGACTTAAAAATTTATTTGTGATGCACTGTGAAAGCTAACACATAAAGATAATCTTCCTGTCATTTGTGTAGGTAGCACGTCTATTCCTGCCCTTAAATACTGTCTATGTGCAGTTCAATTCAATTCAAACTGCAGGCAATCTATCTCTTCCTAACATACTTTCCACAGAATTAGGTTCATCTCATGTAATACATAGAGAGAACTAACTTGCTCCACACTTTACAGACCTCCTTTTTCTCCCAAAATGAACAAGCTACTGTTGCAATACCTGTATCAAATGGTAGCGCCTGGTCTCAGACTACGCACCAAGAGTGTTTATTTTCCTTTCTCTGGGATGTAGTATGGCAAGAACTGTGGATTTGTTAAACACCTTCGGAATGTATTACAGAATCACTCCTCTTGATCTAAATATGTGAAAACCAACCATCAGTCAACATAAAATAAATGTGATACAGCATAGAGCGGAATAATAGTTGTAGCACCTATGGTATTGTGAGAAATTATTTTCTGTGACAGCCAAGCATGACAATGAACAGAAGACAAATTTCCTGCACTGCCTCAGTAAGGGTTTGCCTGTCCTATAAAGTCTTATAGAGAACTAACTGACAAGATCACCTGTAATTACCTACTCTGATTGGCATTATGTGACAGATAAAATAGCCATTTAAAGAAAATGAAACGTACTTATCAATGACTTGGATACCAACCAAAGCCAGATCAAATGGTGGGAAGCTATCCGCAAAAAAGGTTTAACAAAGCTTGCAAAGAGTTTTCAAACAGTTTATGGTAGTGCAGCGACATGGACCTCATAACATTTTCTGTTCTAACGATGAGCATGCCGCTGTTCATTTAAATGGTCTAGTTGTGTGATACACAGAGAAAGGGTTGGTGGATAATTTTGAAACTAAAATAATCTGGAAGAGAAATGGGTGAAATGGGAAGCATTCGTGATAATATCTGTAAAAAAAAAATCTGTTGTTGATCAAGAGGAAGGGTATTTTAAGCATCATTGTCTTGTTCTCTTTGTCTGAGAACAAAAGTTCTATTAATGGATTTTAAAACGCCACAGTAAATTTGGAAGCAAACTGCCCTCTACAAAACCAGACAAAATTGATTTCAATACGTGGTAATTGTAAAGAGCAGAAAAATAGCAGGTATATGTATTGGAAAAATATTTAATTTTTAATGAGATGAGATGCTCATCAATAAGATTCTGCTGAAATATTTATTATTGTCAGCAAAACTTCTCAGACTAACCCAAAACTGACAGATCTTCCCCAAAATATATAGATTATATCTTGAATCTTCTTATGGAAATCTGAATATCCCCTTGTCTTTCAGGTTTTGTTGACTGTGTTTTAAAATGTTACAAAAGGTTGCTCCAATTTTGGTGACAGAAAAGCAGAATTTTTTTAAGCTGTGCATGCAGACAGGAGATTTAGAAGAGGACTGAGCAGCGTATGGGGAATGAAGTGGCTGGAAAGGGTTTAGAGCCGAGACAGAGGATCACTCTGGTGATAAGGGTGAAGAGGTAGATGATGGGAAGGTGCTCCAATTAGGGTGGGGGTGTGACAGCATCAGGATGATGAGAGGAAAAATGACTTTACCAGAGATGCTTGAAATCAACCAAGAGGAGAGAAGTCAGAACAATGCTTGTTATATAGGTTTTGCAGGCACAGGGACGCTTTTCCTAGCTGGAGACGGCAGGCACAGCATTCAGGCAGCTGAAACGTAGGAGGCTGCATGAGAAGCCAGGGACCAACATAGCCACAAGTCACCTGACCCCCCCACCGGCTGCAAGCCCAGAATACTGCTGAGATAACCACAAACCACTGTTCTGCCTACCATGCAATGGTTATAGTTTGAGCATGACTGCAGTGACATTCACACATCTGCTCCAGCTGCCTTGAAAATCAGCTCTGATTTAACCAGAAACTGCTAACATCAATCTGGCAACTCCCTTCTTGTTAAAAATAAGAAAACTAATAATGCCCTGCTCTTACTTAAGGATACATCCTGAAGCATTTATTCTTCATGAGCTGATGCCTTCAGCAAGACTATTAAGTACAACTCAGCAAATGTCCTTCAACCAGGACTTCTTTTAGAGCAGCAGGCCTCCTTTCGTCTACAAGCATGGCTACAGCCCCACAGAAACACAGACCGAACACCTCTGTAACTGTGGGTCTTTGGTTTTTCATGAAATACAGTATGGGAACTTTTCCAAAGGCTCATCACATAACTGCCTAATAAAAGATTTCCAACCAGCAACACGATACACCTCCCTGGAGCTTTTTGGACTACTTATGCTCATTCTCAGATATATGCCCAGCTAGAGTTGGAAAGATGTAGCTAAGAGAGCAAACCTAAAATTGCATTGGTTGTGCAAAAATTTCCCAAGGAAATGGCACTGTTGGTTTCAACACAAGTTTTAGACACCACCTATATATAAACAATAGAAGAGAACAGTCTCTGAAGTGAGTGATTTAGAAGAGGAGGATCATTCAGATGCTTTGATTTCCTCTGTAGAAAAACTCTCTCTTCATTGACTGTATAAGGAGCCTGGAGAGGTCAGGGAATGAAAAGAGCAACAGCAGATTTTCTCCTCAAGATAGAGGTATCAGAAAAGTCATCATTAGATTTTGCCCAAAGAGTGCAGTCTCAAGAGGCAGGCCAAAATCTGAGCAATAATTATGCTTAACTTTCCCCAGTCATGTCCCTGAAACTTTTTAACAGCCAACAAAAGTAGGTAAATGAATTTATACATTAAACTTCTCAGTAAGTAACATGCAAAGAGAGAAGGGAACCTGGATTAAATTATTATGAACAATGAAAATTCTTTTTGGGTAAATCTAAAAGGAAAATGTATACTGTTCCACTTGGGAGGATCTGCTTCTTGTCACGTATGGCATGAGTTTGCCAGGGCGCTTCTTTACTTTTGTAACAAAATAGCTTTGTGAATATCCTGGTCTCCAAAGGCAGATGTGAGGAGGTACTAGGAATTCTTCAGTTTAGAGCTTGACCCGTCTGATCAAACCCATACACTTTTCTTCAGCAGGGGAACAGTGTTGTCACTGTGTTGTCTCAGGCCCTTTACATCAACTCTAATCTTCATCTTGTTTCATCTTTCCCTGTATTTTTAGTCTGGACAGATCATCCTGTTGTACTTGAAGATTCACACACTCTTGTGCAACTGTTTTATTTCACCCCTTGCTCAGCCAGCTGTACAACAAAAGCCAGAGAAGAAGAGTGAGCTCTGCGTACTGTCAGAGCTACATAGTTCTGACTATTATTTCCGCTTGATGGCTTTGGTTTTATCCAAGGATTACTCAGTTTGGGAATAATGGGAGATTTACATGCTTGCACACAGGTCAAATGACAGTCAGAATGCACATGTGTTGCAATTTCTTCACCTGCAGATTATTCCTGGTGACTGTTATTTTAAAGCTTTCCTAACTGGCAATGGCAGAAATCACTGTTTGAATCCTTCTGTTTGCAGATGGATGCTGATGTCCTCCTAGTGTTCCAGCAGGATACTGCTTTGATATTGAATGATAAATTGTTTCAAATAATATCAGCATAGATTTTCTACAGAACAATTCTTAAATACACTGAATAGGTCACTTAAACTCACTGGAATTTTTGCCAAGTAGCTATTTCTTAAACCAAGGCTGTTACTATGCTATTTTGAGTTTTAGTCAAACTCCAGCAAATTAATACCAACTACACTGTCTTCCCCTCTGACCACAGGAACAACTACAAATGCTCTGCTATTTTCCCTGATATTCCTAAAGGTTTCAGTAATCATTTGGATATATTGAAAAGGAAATTAAGAGAAAGCTGTGCTGATTTTTGCTCCCTAAAAAAGGCAAAATAAAACCAATGTGAATTTCACCACCTGCCCTGTAACAAAGCAGAGAAAGAAATGACAGTTTTGCAGCTTCTGAGGAGTTACCATGACTGGTTGAAATACAGCTGTGAATTCTGAATGTATATAATGACAAGACAACATAGGAAAAAAACCATCCCACTGACTTATCGATCAAGTTATTCATATTTAATGATGATGTACACACAGGCAGGCTAAAGAAATTTACTGGCACTTAATTTAATTTTCAAGTTTGTCTAAGTTTCCCAGAACCATAAGCTACTATCCTGACAAGATGAGAGCATGCAAAGTATTCTCCATCACTTTTTGGGTCTTTGGGGTTGAGTATCCCCCTAAAGATATTTACAGTCATTACAGTCATATTTACAGTGATAAAGCCTAGTACGCACAACACCAACAAAACTCTTTAGCATGGGTTACACAGGAGTAAAAATTAAGAGTAGAATGGTCTCTTCCACCTCCTCAATGTGTAGCAATGGGTGTGTGGGGAGAGGAGGAAAATTTGTGATAACTCCAAGAGGGGCTTCCTAAATCCATTTAGCAGAAACAACAGGATAATGGGCACTCCAGCTCTCAGCTCACTTCAGAATATCACCACTTTATCCTTCCTCAGCAAAGCATTTTGGTCAGAGCATAAAGGTAGGTCTCACCTCTGGAATCCTCCCCTCAGCTCTTAACCTCTTCTGAGACTTCCCAGGGATACAGGATGCCTGCCAAGAGACAAGTCTTTTGAACAGGAGCTTTAAAACAGAGGCCTATTCAGTGAGCATAACAGATCAGATGGCCTTTTTGTTTGCTTGATTTTAACAAAGAGCAGCTCCATCATAAATCTTCACTTCAAATTTGATTGCTTTATAATATATCATGCTGTGATGTAACTGGCATCTGCACTTGGCTCTTATTAGGTGACGCCATATGGTACAATTACAAGTGGAGACAGAGAGCGCTATTTAAATAAGTTAAACTTCATTCATCTGCGATTAAACTATTCTCATTCATCTGCATGCATTCAAATTCCTAATTTAACCTCTAAAGAGGTTCCTGTTTGATGCTGCATCTATCTTTTGTATTTTTGAAATTCTAAATCACTGAGCTGTACTTCTATTATAATTTGCTTAAGTTGTCTGTTTCCTTACTAACAGGTTTCACAGCCTATCACAGGGTTAGCTGGGTTGGCAAGTTGTGTGCCGCTTTCAATATCTCACGTTCTCAAAGCAAGCAAAGGCTCTTTTGCACACTGCTTGTAGGCCTCCACTGGGGGATGTGCACAACTGAATTAAACTTTGTCTTACCTACATTCTAGCCATGGTAAAAAATAAATCTGCAGGTTATCAATAAAGGACTTTTAATTGGCAAGACTATTTTATTTATTCATGGGGAGATAAGTGGGTCCTAGAACGCCTTCTTTCCCAGAAGGTTAGGGGGTTGCACACAACTCACAAATCTTTCTTGATAAACCTTTCCTTGAACCAGAAATTGTATTATGTTTTTGTTCCTTCATGCCTAAAACTGTCCAAGCGGGCAATGATTTATTAAGCTGGAGTCTTGAGTCTCCTGCCACACAACCCACTTAGTCACAGTAATGGCTATGAAACAGATCATGCATTCTAAGATAGGCTATAATTTGCGTTAAAGAAACTTGTCTGTTTCAATTACCAAATTTGATTATAAAGTCCTATAAAAGGTTGTGAAGTAAAAAGAAACAAAGCAGCTAAACTTTAGGTTGCAATGTTATATATTACATAAACATACAGAACAGAAGAGAAAGTAAGACTTTGGTATGGACCCAAAAAGATAAAAACCAAATGCTTTCACGTAACTAAACACTGAGCAGACCCTTGCAAACAGGTAGCATTCTTCCAGTCTACAGTTTTGCATTCCAAGTCTCTGTTTACAAATAATCAGAAGTAATCATATGGTTTTGTATACTTCCTCAGTGAAAGATTGAAACTGGAGCCCACACACAGATGTGTACGAATAGTCCTTCAAGAAAAGAAGATGCTTCTACTGAAGGACTGATTCAGGGTTGTAAATAAAGTACCATACATTTCATACATCTGAAAATGTATTAAGGACATCTGAAATTTGATTTTTAGTCTCATTGATTTCAACTTACATCCAAGGTTATACGCATTCCAGAGCATTTTAAGTAATTTAAAAACTGGGTTTTCTTAGAGAATGCAAAGGGGAAAAAAAATAGTCTTTGCTGTTTTCAAATAAATGTATTTTCTCCAGCTATTCCAAATTATTAGGAATACAAAATTTGTTAAAATTCACTTCCAGATATATCTGGAAAAGACTGAGGCAACCCTAATGTTACTCTTTATTAGTTAACAATCCAATGTTTTGCTTTGATACAACAGATAATAGAAGGTATAATTTATTATAACCATTGCAGTCAATTCCACCAGCTGAAAAAGGAGGTGGGAAAGGGCACTTTTGAAAGTTTCTTCAACATAAAGCTATCCATAGACCTCAAATAGCTTTATGATTTTCTTTTTCTGTGTGAATGAGTAATTAGGAGGAGGGAATGTTAACTAGGAGAAAACAAATGGAAAGTCAGAAAAACAGAGAGTAGCAGATCCAAGCTGCTCGAAGTGGAAGATACAAGGGACAGGCACAGCTGAGATGCAGATGGTGAGGAGGAAGCTCAGCAAATTCATAGTTAGCAGAGGCTGACACTGGACAGAAGGAGGCTTAGAGGTACAGCTCCAGCCGGAAGCTAATATCCTCATGACGGAGGAACATTTGCCAGGCTAACTTGGCTAATTTTAAGCATGAAGGGGCTATTTACTTCCTGCCACTGAAGTTGATTAAGTTTCATTAAATTATTTC